TGTGGTTATATTACGTTAGGTTTATGGTTTACTGTAAGCCAATCAGTTACACTTACATCTTCATCGTTAACATAAACAGAACAAGAGCGACACACCATAAATAGTGCCTACCTCCGCCATGTGCCTAAATACAGAAGTTTCGCAATGCGGGCGAGCGATTCCGTCATTTTCTTCATCTTTGAGGATTTTTTTTTTTAAATTACCGATGCGAAAATAAACAAGGTCGCTAAGCGCGCACACACACACACGCACAAAATAATAATAATGACATTGTATAGCATTCGTTAACAATGTTAGTCACTGGTGCTGGGAGCAGTCACAAAGGTGGGGGTGGGGGTGCAGGCCCCCAGTAGAAAAAGTGGAGAGGTCCAATAGTCCCCTGGCTCCCGCTTCCGCCGCCGTTGCAACGAGTCCCGTCATCATCCAGATGAGCCCGTAGGTCCATATGGTCGCCCGTATCCCGCCCGAATCCAGTACTGCTCTTCAAAAGGTGCGGTTCATTCTCGGAATGTAATACAGTATTATACTAAATGAAATCACACATCTAGATGTGTATAAGAGACAGATATCGGGATGGTGTATGGCAGGGGATAGTTTATTACCTGATATTGTTACATTTTTACCTATTTATTATTTCTGTTATGTTAATGAATGGAGCCTTGCAATTTTATTTCTACTTAAAATGTTTTTACAAATGATAACAAAATATACTAAATACTAAAGTAAACCATGAGATATGAGATACGACTTATAACTATACTGTACATTATATTCAGATCTGTGCCTCTCAAGTCGAGTACTCTATGTATGGTTAAGTCATTTGCCCGACACAAGTCATTACTTACATATACATTTAACTCTACTAATCTGTTTAATAAAATATTACCAAATCAATATTGTTTTAGATATTTAACTTTTAATGTTCTAAATATGCATGGTACATATAAATTTAAAGGCATAGAGAAAACATTGTTTTAATATATATATATATAAATACATATATATATACACATACATATCTGTCTCTTATACACATCTAGATGTGTATAAGAGACAGACTCAGGATAAAGCTGTATTATTTAATGTTTAAGAAGAATAAACTTTAATATTCATTTCAATTATTTATTCACCATACCATCCACCAGAATATATAGTTTTCAAATGTAAAATTTTAACTTGTTGGTTTCACCAACTCCCTGGTTTCATTATCACTGTAGGACCATAAGACGATTCTTTATGAGTGATGCTTAGCTGGAGGGCAAATGCACTTAAAAGGGTCTACAGCATTCCATTTCCTCAACATCATTGAAAAATAATCTCCAGATTTTTGTAATTC